GCAGGACTGGAAAATCAAGGTCTGTTTACTGCAAGCACTCGCAGGGTCAGGCCTGTGGTTTGGAAGATGATACAGACAAGGTCTCAGATGAAAAACAGGTTGTGCTTGTGCGCGTCAGATCTTCATCATAATGTGTTCTTGGGAGGATTTACGTTCTGTAGGAAGTCTCCTGCTTTACACAGTTAATCTGACACTTGCCAAGGCACAGCAGAAATGGTGTATGAAAATTAACTTCGTTCCTCGTTGTTCTATTTACTTTGGAGGTCACTTCTCCTTTCATTTTTATGCAATATAAGCAAAACGCACCAGGGCAGAGCTTTGATCTATAGGCAGTCACAAACCTCATTAAAACTGACAGGCATGCTGGCCAGGCTTCATTCAGGAAGGAGCAATTAAGTTCTTTAACGGCACAAGAGAGCGAAAAACTAGAAACCGTTGCCCACAGCACAGGGCTGCACAGCCAGGCACTAAGATGAGCTAATTCCTATGAGCAAGCACTAATTTGGGGAAAGTCAGATTTCTCTGGGGACGGTTTGCGAACGCGGCAGCAAGAGCCCAGATTGGTTGCAGCTGTGTTTGCCTGCGTGCATGTCAGGGAGCGGAAACACCAGGCGAGAGCCAGCAGACAGTGGGAGAAGCAGTGGTGCATGGCCCTGAGAAAAAGCCAAGGGACAGCTTCTTCTGGGCAAGCATCCTGGCTAGAGCAGCAAACTTGGACTGCTGCAGCACGCTCCCTCCCATTTGCTTCCTCTGCGTGCAAGGAAATGGGACGTGGCTGTACATTCTTTGTAAATAAATAGGATTACACTGAGGAGATAACTGAATTCATCACCAAGTTTTCGTCCTCATGGGGAAATCTGACAAAGTGCTGAGTATTAGGGTCAAAGCTCTGCCTGTAGAACGATGGGACTTTTCAGTGCTGCCGAATCGGGAATTGGAGACCTTGCAGAATACCGAGGCAGTCTCTGAAATTCAGACCTCTAAAGTACAGTCGAACATTTCAGCTGCTGCTGATCCTTCATGGATTCTTAATGCCTGGTATTTTTACAATGCATATTAAAAGTAGTTTTTATGGAACAGTGATAAGAAATGGCTTTCTCTGATCCTTCTTTTGGAGTGTTTAATGTAGTCCAGATGTATCTGTCAAAAAAAAAGTATAGTCAGATGCGGCGTAGTTGTGCAACGTTCATACATGGTTAAGGTGTTTGATACACAGAGCTGCTTTGAATAGTTTATTTATGCTGTCTTACAGTGTCTTCTTACTGAGCTGTACTGGCACCGCTGGCAGGTTGATTTCCAATTAGGTCCCGACAGCAGCTTCATGGCACATCTCAGGTTGCCTCTCTCCAACTGAGGTATGCTCATACGAATAAAGCAACGTGTTTCAACAAGCCCGAAGCTGGAACGTGCTCTGGGTGTGCTCTGACACCTCTGCAACAGGACGCGAAGCCTGAACCTGCTCCAGGGAAAAGAAAACTAGACCTGGAGTCAAGGGTAAGTCTGGCAAGTGTCCTCAACCCTTCATTCTCTGTGTTTCACCGTGGGAGACAATTGCAGCCTGACACGTCTTCAGTAGCATGGCTTTCGAGAAGCCTTACTGACAGGGAAGGCAAACCTGGAAATAAAAGGAGCTACTTTGACCTCCAGCTACTTTTATCCATCAGTTTTGTGATAGATATCTTCTCCAGCACAACACAGAGGGTGGCTGGGGCCCACGATGAGGAGCTGATGTGGCCAAAGGGCAAGATTGTGTTACTTTTGGCAGCGACTTTGGCAAGAGCTGGCTAGAAGCATTTGGGAAATTACGGCTGAGGGGGGCACTCCGGCTTTATGTTGACACGTGTGCAGGCTGCCACTGAGACAGGGCCCTCTCTGGCTCCCTTATGCTGGCATCAGTGTCTGTTAGGCTGTGGGATCAGCTGGGTGAGGAAATTGATCCTGCTGAAAACTTTTTTTTAAAACTGGATTAGCTTTCGGCTCTGTTGGCAAGAAGGTCTAAGCTAACATGTGGCTACGTGGATGTCACAGCCAGCAGAGAGCAGGCATCAGGAAAGCATGACTAAGGGAAGGGAAAAGGATGGAGCTTGTTCCTTTGCCAGCAGCACAGTTGGCTTAACTCCCCACGAATCCACCTCTCAGGATGGAAGTACCTGTTCCATACAGCTTGTGTCAGTTTAATGGCTTGCTTCCATGGTTAGGAGAAAACCTCATCCCTCTTTTCCTCCCTCTTCTTACGTTAGGTCTGGTGGTTGTCTAATCTTGCACTGAAATGGTTTAGCTTGTTGAATCAGCAGAAAACTAACCAAGGCACAGAAAAGGGAATGGCATTCTGCGGGTAAAGTGGGGCAGTTCAGCTTGGAAGGGCATCCGTGAAGCGTAGCAGAATCCGTACAAGAGAGGTGAGATGCAGCAGAGCTCCATCGGGTTGTTGGCTGAATCACAATGTACAGTTTCCCCTCGCTGTGCTTAATACAGGAACCATGGTTTAGGTCCTATCTGTAGTTGAAAGATGGCAATAGGCACTGCTGCCTCCCTTCTCTTGTAACAAATAAGGGTGCTTGTTTGGTAAAGCTGGTAGTTGCCACTGTTTTTCTAACTCCTCCCAAACTAGACCAGATATAAGGAAGAAATTCTTCACAACATGGGTGGTGAGACACTGGAACAAGTTCTTAGAGAAGCTCTGGATGCCCCGTCACTAAAGTGTTCAGAGTCATACTGGACTCTGAACAACCTGATCTAGTGAAAGATGGGTTGGACTTCTGTAATGGGCCCAACTCAAAGCATCCCATGACTCTATGATTTTGAGCCCTCCGAAGGGGAAGTGACATTCATCCTAATACTTCCCTTCAAACTTCCCTTTAGGCTTAGATTTCTTTGGTTCTGTTTTCAGTTAGGGAAATATTGCCACAGATCTACTAATGCTCTTTTTCACCTGCCAGAACTTTTCTCTGAAACTTCAACAAATGGCCTATGATGGTGCTTTCCAGGAAAACACTCTGCACTCTGAGATGTGGGAAAGCAACCTCATTAGCAGTGTGCCATTGAAAAACCTGTATTAGCAGCAAAGTGTTTACAAAGAGTTAAACATGATGATGGTTGTGGATCCCTCCCAACTCAGGTCATTCTATGATTCTATTCTATAATTCTGTACTGATTAAAGATGGATTACATTTGTGCAAAACAGTTGGTTGTGCACAGCCCTATCACATGTTTTGTTTGTGTAATAATCACTCAAGTGGAAATAGTAAAAAAATATATTTGGTTGTGTTGGTGATTATAACAGTATGATTAAATTAAATGCAGAAATCCTGTCTGACTGCATAGGAATAGAAACTGTGTTTGCTGTGTTTGTCTGGAGATGTAAGCTTTCTGATCTGATGGAAGTTGAAGCAAGGTAGGTCAAGAAAATTATTGGATGGTCCAGATAAAAGAGGAGATATGCTGGTCTACACACATAAGCCCAAGCAGCTCCCTCTTTGTTTATAAGAAAAAAAGATTAGGACAGGAAAATGTGCTCATTTCAATCAAAAGAATTAATGGACAATGAGCTATACTCAAGAAGTACATGAGGAAAAGAAGTTGTATGAGAAACATGTAATTTACAATGAGAGGGGAATCTAAAATGCCAAGAACGCCATCTTGTTGTCAATATCCTTAACCAAAATATTCAAGAGAAGTTCAGTAAAATTAGTTCAGTAAAATTCTTAATATAAAGATGGCTGTTGGGAAAGCATAGACCTTGGGAAACACAGAATCATAGAATCTTTTGAGTTGGAAGAGACCCTTAAAGGCCATGTGGTCCAACTTGCCTGCAATGAACAGGGACACCTACAGCTCCATCAGGTGCTCAGAGCTCCTCCAGCCTGACCTTGGGTGCCTCCAGGGATGGGGCATCCATCACCCCTTTGGGCAACCTGTGCCACTGCCTCGCCACCCTTACTGTAGAAAACTTCTTCCTCATTACCAGGCTAAACCTCTTCTGTTCTAGTTTGAAACTACGTCCCCTGATCTGTCACAGAAGATCTCATTAAAGAGTCTGTCCCCTTCCTTCTTACAGCCCCCTTTAGATACTGAAAGGCTGCTCTCAGGTCACCTCACAGCCTTCTCTTCTCCGTGCTCAACAGCCCCAGCTCTCTCAGCCTGTCCTTGTAGGAGAGGTGTTCCATCCCTTGGATCATTTTGGTGGCCCTCCTTTGGATGTGCTCCAACAGGTCTGCGTCTCTCCTGCACTGAGGACTCCACATCTGGATGCAGTACTGCAGGTGGTCTCACACTGCAGAGCAGAGGCTGGGATCACTCCCTCACCATGCTGTCTATGCTGCTTTGGATGCAGTCCAGGATAGGGTTGGCTTTCTGGGCTGTGAGGGCACACTGCTGGCTCTGCTGGCTCATGTCCAGCTTGTCACTGCCGGTACCCTCAGGTCCTTTTCAGCAGGGCTGCACTCCATCCTTACACCCCCAACTCGCGCTGATAGCAGGGACTGCAGTAACCCGGGTGCAAGGCTTGGCTTTGTTCAACCTCAAGAGGTTGCCCTGAGCCCGCCGCTGGAGCCTGTGCCAGGTCTCTCTGAATGGCATCCCGAGACATAACCGCCCAAGTGCTGGGCTATCTCGAGCACACTTTGCGTATCCGAGGAACGGATTAAAGTACCACAGCTACGCCGGCAGGCTGTGAGGCGAGCGGGCGGCTCTCATCCCGCCGCTCTCCTCCAGCGCTGCCCGCCGAGCACCCGCCGTGCCCGCGGCCCGCCCGCCCCGAGCGGCGGAGCGAGGAGGAGGGGCGTGCGGCGGCGCGGTCAGGAATGGCGGCCCTCGGTGCCGTCCGCCGCCGCGGTGAGGTGAGAGCGACCGGGACGGGGCGAGGCCCGCCCCGAGCAGCCCGCGGGCGGGGGCCGCGCTGTTGGGCGGTCGCGGCCGCCCGCTCCCCGCCTCTCCCGGTCCGCCGGCGGCTGCCGCTCCCTCTCCTGCCCGGGCGGCTCGGGTAGCGCCGGCCCCGCCGCGCCCGAACCGCGACCATTTTCTGCGGCGTCGCTGCCATTTCGCGCAGGGGGGGCGCGGCGCCTGGCGGCCCGGGAGGGTGAGTAGCGGCGGGGGGCAGCCTTTGTGTGCGGCTGCAGCGCGGCGCGGGGCGGCCGTCGGCGCTGCTGTGAGCCCGGTGGTTCGGGAAGGGGCGATCCTCCTTAGCTTGTTTCTCTCCTCCCCCGTAAGCCTCGTTCTGTGCTTGTTTTCTTTTTCCAGGCCTTTCCAGCTTTCTGGAAGCTGTGCGTTTTGGATCTTTCTGATGCTCCTCAGAAGTAAAACCACCTTTGGCGGTGAAACAATCAGTTCCAAGCGTGGCCGCTTTCCCCAGCTGCCTGAACAGCCGCTGGATCCGGAGGGCAGTTGTGCGGTATGGTTTGTGTTGGTGCTTGGTTGGGTTGTGCTTCCCCCCAGTTGAGGTGCTGGAAGGAGAAGCTCCCATCTCCCATCTTCTGCCTTTATCTCCAGGCCTTGTGTTTTGAGTGGCGTGAGCACAGTGACCTGAGGAAGATCAGGGAGGTCAGTCACAGGAGGAGATGAGGAGTAGGGGGCCATGTAGAGGGAGAGGGATGAGAGCCCTCCTGACTATTTCAGCTCCTTAGGAAGCACAGCCTGTTAAGTTTCACTTACAGTGCTTGGTTGTCATTGTGGGAAACTCGCAACTCAAGAGCTCTCTTTCTGTTTTGCTTGAAGCTTGGTAATTCTCTTTTGCTTTCTGCTAGCTGACAGACCGGAGTTCTGTGCTGAGGCACATGCCAGGTGAATTTGTCTTTGGAGTGCAGTAAAAAGCTACAGTGTAGCTTGTTTTTACCTCTGTGGTTTGATTTGTTTTGCAGTTCTGAATGTTGAAACTCTGCAGGTTGGTCTTTCTAGTGGAGGACATCTTCAGTGGTCGTACCCAGAGAGTTTGTGTAGTTCAGGTGAAGGAGTAAACCTCAGTGCCTTTTGGTCTGTACACTACAAATGGTGAATTTGGGGCCATTCGCACCCAAATCAGAAGTTACACGGAGTACATCCCAGTGGAGAAATGGAGGAGTTAGAATCAGAATATCCCAAGTTGGAAAGAACCTGTAAGGGTTACTGAGTCCCATCAAGTTGCTAGGTTTTAACCTATAGTCACACAATGAGCTGGTAGTGCAAAGGGATATTTCAGAGGGATGTTTTAGTCCACGAGCAGCTTCCTCTCTAAAATAAACCTCCTGAAGAAGGCAGGAATTCAGCTGTCCCAACCAGTCTTTCAGGTTTTCAATATATTTGGTTTGGTGTGACTACTGTTGTAGAAAGAGAAGGGGAAAACTGAAAGCTTATAGATTTGCCCATTTCTTTTTTTTTTTTAAACCCTAAACTTGTAATGCAGTGGTTTTGAAATTAGGTTGCGTTTATAAAGCATATTTTTTTTCATTGGATAAGTGGTCCTGGAATGCACCAAGATGATTTTATTTGGATCACAAAACGTTTTTGCATATAATGTTTTTTAGGAGCATGAAAGTCTTCAGTGTTTGCCCTAAAGTTTTGATAGAATGTGTGTAGTGTTTTCTGCAGTGCTTTGCATTACTTGTTGCCAGCTGTACAAAAGCTTCTTTTCAAGTTCCCTAACTAAGAAAAGAAATCCTTCCTGGTAAAGGAAGTGGACCAGAACAAATATTTTCTGCATGGTGAATTTCCAGTTATTAAAGGTGTACAACTGTCATTTTAACTGCAAAATTGATCTGTGTGCTGCCACTATGGCTAAAAGCTATGAATGGAGGCTGGAAAGAGAATCATTCCTAAGGAGGAGTACTTGGGAGGTTAGGAGCAAGATCACCCTCTTCCCTTCATCCCGTTCTTTCTACCATTACAAAGAGAATGCAAGAGAGAAACTTTGCTTGTACCAGCACTGAGAGGTGTTTCAAAATTGCTTTCTTTTTACAGAAAATGAAGTTTCTGAATGAGATCTGTGGCCTTAAAGGAAACCTTAGGTGGCAAATGAAGTAATTAGGCCATTTCTCCAGCATTTGTCCCTACCTCTAACAGGTGCCTTCTGCCTGATGACCTTAGTCCTCAGGGTGAGTAGAAAAGTTGGCAACTCTTTCAAACTCCTTTATCCAGGCAAACGTGGGGAATTCCCTTCTTCCTTGGTGCTGGAGAAGCATGGGAACTGTGAGGTCTCGCTGTGACTGCATCTGTCTAGTTGTGAAAGAAACTCAGGACTGGCCTTGCCATTCTTCCCTGTGCTTTCCTAGGATCAGTGGTATTTTATTAGTCTTGTCCTATGCAGCATGTATCGTTCCTTGTAGCTCTTGAGAGTGGTGGTGAATGGAGTCAAATCCAGCTGGCGACCGGTCGTGAGTGGTGTTCCCCAGGGGTCGGTGCTGGGGCCTGTCCTCTTCAATATCTTTATTGATGACCTCAATGAGGGCATCGAGTGCACCCTCAGTAAATTTGCAGATGACACCAAATTGGCTGGAAGTGTGGATCTGCCTGGGGGTAGCGAGGCCCTACAGAGGGATCTGGACAGGCTGGAGAGCTGGGCTGAAGCCAATGGGATGAGTTTCAACAAGGCCAAATGCCGGGTCCTGCACTTCGGCCACAACAACCCCAGGCGACGCTACAGGCTTGGGGCGGTGTGGCTGGAGGACTGCGTAGAGGAAATGGACCTGGGGGTATTGATTGATGCTCGGCTGAACATGAGCCGACAGTGTGCCCAGGTGGCCAAGAAGGCCAATGGCATCCTGGCTTGCATCAGAAACAGTGTTGCAAGCAGGAGCAGAGAGGTGATTGTTCCCCTATATTCAGCACTCGTGAGGCTGCACCTCGAGTACTGTGTCCAGTTTTGGGCCCCTCACTGCAAGAAAGATATTGAGGCCCTGGAACGTGTTCAAAGGAGGGCAACAAAGCTGGTGAGGGGTCTGGAACACAGGCCATATGAGGAGAGGCTGAAGGAGCTGGGAATGTTCAGCCTGGAGAAGAGGAGGCTCAGGGGAGACCTTATTGCTCTCTATAACTTCCTGAAGGGAGGTTGTAGTGAGCTGGGGGTCGGCCTCTTCTCTCGTGTCATTAGTGATAGGACCAGGGGGAATGGTTTCAAGCTACGGCAGGGGAGATTCAGGCTGGACATGAGGAAGTATTACTTTTCAGAAAGGGTGGTCAGGCACTGGAATGGACTGCCCAGGGAGGTGGTGGAATTGCCGACCCTGGGGGTGTTCAAGGAAAGACTGGATGTTGTGTTGAGGGACATGGTTTAGTAGGAGCTATTGGGAATAGGTGAACGGTTGGACTGGGTGATCTTTTAGGTCTTTTCCAACCTTAGTGATTCTATGATTCTATGATTCTTCTCTTGGTTCTCTTTCCTTGCCATTTTGTGTTTCTTAGAGGAACCATAGCAATAACATCAGAACTAGATAAAGGAGCTCATTCATTCATGCTTTGCTTGTTATAGAACTACTTTGATGCTCTTCTTGTGATACATCTTTTAATTTATAAAAGGCATTTTGTTACATACTTTAAAACATAATATGGATTGAGTTTATACAAGAGAAGCATCCTTTTAATTATAGCTCAAATCTAAGTGTGTAAGAGTTTTGGCTAATACAAGCTGGTGCCCTGTTTGGTGTTTATTAGTGACTTGTGTTCTCAGAGCCTGCTCTAATGACAGAGTGTCTGAGAACTTGGCTTAGAGGCATTGGGAAGATGGAGGAATGCATCCCTCCACTGAGACTTTACAGCACTGAGGAGTGTGGTAAATCCTTTTCCTGTAGGTCTTGTCCACAAGAAGAAACTACTGAGGCATTAGTGCTGTGAGAATTGGAAATAGAGGTGGTGGCTGAGTAAAAGTAGTTAACAGTTTTATTTTGCTCTAAATTATCAAAAATTATGGGCAGCTTTCCTTTGAACTATGCTGGTTGTGTGCTGAACAGCTCAACAATAACACATTCACTTGGTTATTTATAAATGTGGTGGGAGCAGGAAAAGCTCCTTAAGTTTTTATCTGTTATGTTTCTGCATATTGCATCAGTGCAGGAAGATGCAAGCCTTGAATTACTAGTACATGAGCTATTTTCGTTTGACATGGAAAGCCTCTCTTGGCAAGCCCTTTTCCAGTATTTCTATTTGAGAGTGAGAAAATGGTTCTGACTGGACCCCAGGCCGTTCCTGTGCCTGCCATCTGGTGGCCAGATTCCACAGCTAACTTGATCCCTTTGGGGAAGATCTGATTCTGGGCTGGGTTGTCACAGCCCATCTGGGGCTCTGCCTTTGGGATCCTTGAGAAAAAAATATCTCCTCAGATGGAGATCAGCTTTTGTGTGTTTCCCAGAGAGGAGAAGCACTTTCTGTAAGTTCTGTTACCATCTTTGTTCTCTTTCCCAGGACGTGATGGAGCTCCTAGAAGAAGATCTCACCTGTCCCATTTGCTGTAGCCTGTTTGATGATCCTCGTGTCCTGCCCTGCTCACACAACTTCTGCAGAAAGTGTCTGGAGGGAATATTGGATGGAAACGTGCGGAACGTGCTGTGGAGGCCATCCCCTTTCAAATGTCCCACGTGCAGGAAGGAAACTCCTGTTACTGGAGTCAACAGCTTACAGGTCAATTATTCCCTGAAGGGTATCGTGGAGAAGTACAACAAAATCAAAATAACTCCAAAAATGCCTGTGTGCAAAGTGCACAGCGGGCAACCCCTGAACATTTTTTGCCGGACAGACATGCAGCTCATCTGTGGGGTTTGTGCCACCCGTGGTGACCATACAAAGCACGTGTTCTGTTCCATCGAGGAAGCTTATTCCCAGGAGAAGCGGGCTTTTGAAACCCTGTTTCAGGGCTTTGAAACGTGGCGTTGTGGAGATGCGCTCTCTCGGCTGGATACCTTGGAAACCAGTAAGCGGAAAGCTCTGCAGATGCTGACCAAGGATTCTGACAAGGTGAAAGAATTCTTTGATAAACTGCAGCACACGCTGGAGCAGAAGCGAAATGAGATTCTCTCTGACTTTGAGACCATGAAGCTTGCAGTGATGCAGGCCTACGATCCGGAGATCAATAAACTGAACTCGATTCTGCAGGAGCAGCGGATGGCTTTTAACATTGCAGAGGCCTTCAAAGACGTGTCAGAACCCATTGTATTTCTGCAACAGATGCAGGAGTTCAGGGAAAAAATCAAAGTGCTCAGAGAAACCCCTTTACCTTGTTCCAGTGTGGACATCACCCCTACAATGAAGAGCTTTGATACCAGCCAGTGGAATGGAATCAAATTGGTTGACGTGGACAAACTTTCTTTACCTCAGGAAAACAGCAGTCTGAAATTGAAGATTCCCTCAGTCTTTTCACGCAGATTTATAGTAGCCTCTCTCATCTGCTTGCTTATTCTTGCTGTCACCAGAATGTCTTTTGTGGAGTCTGTGGTTGACAACTTCCAGTGCTGGAAATCTCAGTTCTTTACCATTAGCTTGTCCTACCTGGCAGATACGGTGGAGATAGCTGATCATGCAGTCTTTTATTGGGAACAGATGACTGATGGAGCCTCACTTCTGAGTGAGAAATGTAAAAACTACACGTTGGTTGTACTGGATAATGTTGCACAGTTTGTGTGCAAGTATAAACTGTTGTGAAGTCCTTACTGAAACGTAAGAAGTAAAAGAGATTTGATGGGGAAAAAAAGCATAGAACGTTGTAAAATTAATTATTTTTTTTTTAAAGACTTTCATTGTAAGCAATCAGAGATTTGAAATGTTTTCAGATTGTCTGTAATGTTTGTGTAGTTGGAGCACTACTAAACTGAAGGTGAAACAGAGCTCTGAAGAACATGTTCCTGGACTTCTGTTGTGGTGGTGATTATGGAATATTCATTTAAAATCACTTTCCTTACTGAAATTTAGGGCCTTTGTACTTACTATAATGACAAAATGCTTGTGGAGTAAGAAATTGTATATTCTTTGATAAAAAGCACTCCTATAGGGCATAGTTGATTTTTTTTTTTCTTAATTTGAAAGTCGTTTGGAAACAAAAAGAAGAGCTGTGATTGAGAAGAGTGTACAGTAATGTGAGGGGTTTAAGATTGCCCTTCTACTGCAAAACACAGTGTAGAGTTCAGTCTGGAATCCCTTTCTACCTGAGGGTGGTTTTACCTGTATTCCCTGAAAAATAAACGTATGTGTGTACGTAGGTGAATATATCTACATGTATGTATATGTGTTTTTATATACTTTTGTAAAACCACGAGTTGAATTTTCCTGTGTGTTCTGATTACTGTAGATACTGTTTATTGTTTACATGTTCTATACTACAAAAACAAATTCAGGGTAAACACCTCGAATAAATTCTAGAGGTAAAAAGAAATCGACTGATACTGATAAGAGAACAAGCTGCAAGGTACTCTATACTTGGCAGTTTACTTCTCTAGCCTGGGTTGTCTTGTTTCATCCGTGTCTCTTTGAAGCCATGCTTCCTTAAGATGTGGCTTTGATGCTGACAGTCAGTGTGGTGAGAAGGCAGCTTGTGTTGTAGGCCTGCAATGATGGCAGGAGGAACAGTTTCTCTCCATCTGTGTCGATCCAGATTGTAATTCTGAGAGCCAGGAAAAAAGATGGGATGATTTGCTTGGAATGGTGTGTAGGGCCTTGGGAATAACGATGTTGTTGGTGTTTTAACATCGAAGACATAGGTATGATCTTTGAATGTACTGGGAATTGAGTTTTATGGGTGTTACTGGCTTGCTTGTGGGATAACAGTGGCTTTAAGTGAACTGTAAGCTTGAGTTTGCTGAAGTGCCCTTCTTTAAGAGCATATGATCCTGAAATATGTGGCCTGAAGTACATCTCCCTTTTTCTTACGGTAGTCCTATGAACAGCAATATATAGAATAAAAGCATTCTGTCCACGTTTCCAGGAAAGAAAAGAAATGGGTGCCATACTTTGGGGATGTTCCTTGGCCTCTATCCTGATTTAATATATTGTGATGATCAGTTTGCTGTCTTCCAGTAGTCCTTGCAAGCTTCAATTCCAAGAAACAAAGTTTCCAAGCAACCAAGCCCTGCAAACAAAAGTATTGTATTTACATCTTTGTTACCTGGGAGCGCTGCTGCTGCCCCACACGTTGCTCCAGATGGCCTGTGGGGTAGCAGAGATCAAGTCACAGACATACGGAGCGGAGCTGAGGTAGCGATGAGCGGTCGAGAGGTGGTTGCTGTGAGTGTGGGAGGTGTGAGGTTTGTCACCCGGCCCTGCACCTTGCTGCGGTTCCCCGAGTCCAGGTTAGCACGCATGTTGGGTGGTGACGACCCAGAGTTTAAACTGGTGAACGGAGAGTTTTTTGTGGACAGAGATGCCGCTTTGTTCAGTTACATCATGGACTTCTTGAGGACTCTTCAGGTCTCTCTGCCTGCTGATTTTTCAGACTTCCAGAGGCTGCGCAGAGAAGCGGAATTCTATGAGCTGTACCCTCTGGCTGAGCTCCTGGGCCAGGAACACCTCCTGAAGCCGAGGCTGGAGATCTTGGAGGTGCGTTTTTTCCTCCAGGAGATGCAGGCCTTTTTCCGGATCTTCGGTTCCTGCAGTAGCACCGTGGAGACACTGGCTGAGCAGATCACTGTGCTTACGGGGCAGCTGCCAGGGCAGGGCTGGAGCAGTCCTTTTCCTTCTCAGAAACCACTAATTCCACTTCCTTTGGAAAGACCTTCTCATCACGACATGGTTTTTCAGTGTGGAACCGACTGCTCTGCTGGTGACCGCTTTGTGGCCAGGTACTCTCCTGAATGTGACTTCTCATGATAGAAACAGCTTCCTGGCTTCTCCTTCATGGAATATGCTCTGCACACTTAGCAAGCTCATTGTGAAGAAGCTGTTGGACAATTGTCAGAGGAAAAAAATGTTTCCTTTTTTCTGCTAGCTTAATGTTATGTTTTCCAGCTCTGAAGTACCCTGTTTGATTTCTGTCATGTTGTTCTTAAAAATGTTCCTGACTGTCTGAAACACTGTTCTTGATGTTCGTTTTCGTGTTTGGTTGGGTCTCTCTTCTGTGCTCTCTCTGCAAGGCTTTAGAATTTCATAGCATCAGTGACCTCGTAGAAAACTCGAAAAATGGCATGAAATGAGGCAAAGAAAGCAAAATAAATAAGCAGTGAGGTACAGGAGGAGGCTAAAATCCACTAGCTTATAGACTTTCATGTTGAGAAGAGGAAATAAAGGGTGGCTAAACAGGTCAAAAACACCAGAGGAACTGAGATAGCAGTTCAGGGACTGGAGAGCTTTTGTACAGCCTTTTTATTCCAGGAAGAAGGGGTATATTATTAACTATGGGTTACACAGTGGGTTTTCTCAGAGTGAAGTTTGTTTAATTGAGATGGCTATAAATCAATGATTTTTGTGATAGCAGCATCATATTCCAATAGCAACCTATATTTTTTAAAACAAGCTCTTGCTGGATGTCTCTATTGTATGGGGACACATTCTTACTGTATAAGAAAATGTAACCTCATTTGTCCTCTGTGGCAGCTAGAACATCTGGAACTTCATGGAAATTTCATTGAAATAGTTCCAAAAGGGTTATTCTCTCTGAATATTTGAATTAACACAGCAGTCCTTTGATTGTGTCTTAAAAAAAAATCAATAGAGCCTATCTTCCTTTTAGCTCTCTTCAGCTAAGCAAGCACAGGGGAGAGAGAACTACTTTGCATTTGTGAAGGGACATCTATTTATATGGCAAACCTCAATTTTATCTATTTTTAATTATTTTACTGGACTGACAATTGGCTGAGCACATTATGGCTATGCCTGATTCTTTCCTTTTTTAATTCTGACTTTGTAGGACTTTTCCTTTGCATACCAGTAGAAGAGCATCCCCTGATGCTGAACCCCCCTGAAACAAGCCAGCTTTGGCACTGTAGCCTGCTGAATTTCTCTTGACTCAGTCTTTGTGCTGGCATCTTTTCTGTGTGCTTTCCGTAAATGTTTGGTGTACTTCCCTGTGAACTGTGGAACAATTTCACTCCTCAGCTTATGTATTTTGTAACAGTACTTTTATCTGACTTCTGTTCCTTCAACTGGATAGATTCTTACACTGTACTTGATAGCAAGTAAAATCCTGAAGTGATGTGAAAATGATTTTCTTATTTGTTACCACCAGAGCTGCTGTATGGGGTGACTGCAATAAATGTCACTGCTCCTAGAGAGATCCTGTGTAGTGGGAAGTGGTGCTGTTGGGATGTACATTGCCTTGCTGTCCTTTCCATCATCTCTTACCCGGGAAGTTGTCACATATTACACAGAGGATGCCATCCACCTCTCTTGCACTGATTAATTCAGGGTTCTTTCTGCTGGTTTAAGTAAATTTTGTTGTGGGGGTGAAGGAAAAGGGCTTATTCCTCAGTCTGCAAAATGCAAGCTGAGGAATGCTGCTCTTACAAAGAGGGAAGGAGTGAAGTTGTCCTCAAAGTGGGCAAGAGATCCAGCATGTTGGCTGTAGGTGTGTGCAGCCAACTGCTGGCATGCTCCATCCGAGCACTTGATTTTGTTTTATTATTTTTGTTGTTTGATTACATCCTTCGAGAAAAGTATTAGAAGTGTTCTGTAACTGCTTTTTTTCTTCTTTCAGGTACGTCTCCATAAAACCTGACAACAGAATGCTGATAAATGGTACTAACGTGCTAGGCCTGCTGATTGACACGTTGCTCAAGGATGGATTTCGCCTCGTAAGCACCAGGACAGTTTCCAGTGACAAAAAAGTGGAGTGCTACAGTTTTGAAAGAACACAGAGGCCTGTAAGCCTTAGCATTGCTGCAAACCAACACCCAGAGAGCTCCGGGACAGTGCAGGCAAGGAGAAGCCGAGTGCAGAAGGGGAAATAATGCATTTTCCTATACTCCTGTGAAGGTGGAAGAGGTGGTGTGTGTCAGCACCAGCGGCCTTTTTTTTGTTTGTTTGTTTGCTCATTTGAAACTGCGGCTATTGAGGGAAGTAACAAACAAACAACTTGTTAAAAAAGGAGGCGGAAAAAAAAATGCTTTCCTGCCTTTCCCTGCTCCACCCTCTTTAATTCTAAATAAAAGAACCACAGATTCAATGCTGTTTTTGTGGACCAGATTGCAGTACTTTCAAGGGCAGTTTTTGTTTTTCTCTGTGGCTAAAACTTCTGTGACTCACAGAAGATCAGTCACTCCTTCTAGAAAATTATTCCTATGTTATGTTCTCTTCAAATGTGATCACATGCAAAGGAGTTTTGCATGCATGCAAAAAGGACTGAAGCAGTGTGGAGAAGTGTCCGGAGGAGGAATGTCAACCTGAAAGACTGGAGGTGGTTTCTGCTTTGGAAACACCAATTCCTGTAATGGCAAGGTCACAAGTTGTGTTGCTGTGGGACTGGAGACACGAGAGCATGGCTTTGTGAAGCCACTGCTGGCGTTCATGAAATAATAATGTGCCACTGTCTCTTGCAAAATACTCCTCTGTCCTCTCCCCACACTCTGAAGACACTGAGCTGCTCATTAGTGCTGAGAATTAAATGATAAAGGTCCTCAGAAAATACTTGTGATGCAAACAAAGAGTCAGTCAGTTCTTAGAGCCTTAACTCTAAGAACAAAAATGTGATGAACAGTCCTTCAGATGGAAGAATTGGTGAAATTTTAAACAAGATAGCACGAGGTATCTCTTAGTGCTTGTTAAATGAAAAGGTATTCAGGAAGGAGGCTTGGCAGAGGTCGCTTTGGGAATTTTAACCCTGTCCAATGGTTTGTAAAAGTGCCACAATTATTTCAGGTATGGGAGAGTTATTGAGGCTTTATAGATTTATAGACCTTTTGTCCTACCTAACAGGCAGATCATGGCAGTGTCAAGGATTCATTATTTGAATCTGATTTTTGTTTCTTGTTGAGAAAACATGCTACATCAGCCTGTCTGATTAATTAGGTCTGGCTTTCCTTTAGCTTTAAAGTGTGAATTTCTTTACAGCACTTAGGAATGGTGATGGGTGGTGGGGATCAGTCTTCTGTTTCATGTTTGTAGCGTTTGCAATGGAATGGATCATTTCAGACTTCTGGTGCTGCTATCAGATGTTTATTTTCTCTATGCTACCATAAAGCATTTTAGCTTGACACAGGTGTTTGGAGCTTTCCAGGGGTAAAATAATGTGATTATGGGACGACATCTCCTAAGCTGCTTACAGGCTACATACGTGTAGTAAATATTATGGAACACGCTTTCACTTCAAACTGGATTTTTTTGTCAATAATGTCAACCAATATGTTAATGCTTTGAGCACAGGCCTTTCATTAGACTTTTTACCAACAAAATTAGGCTATTTCACCTACTGCAGAAGCAGTGAGTTTATTTTCACTGCTGTAACAGCCATTTTTGAACTCTTTTAAAATAAGGAAAAAGAAATATATATGTTTTAACCTACATCATTACTCGTGCTCTGTGGTTTTGGCAAAAGGAAAATTTGATACAACCATTTCACAGATTGCGGCACAGCTGAGGCTGTCTGGGCTCCCTGAGTCCCTTTGCTCCATCCCCTGCCCCAGCAGGGACACCTTGACTTTATCTTGACCTGTTAGGGCCATGTACCAAGAACCTGTGCGTATGAAAATCACTAAATCAGGATTCCAAAGCTTTTCTGTAATTTATTCTTAGCAATTAACTGAGATGTGTCATTTTTGCGCCTGTTTCTCTCCCCCCCCCCCCATCTTTTTCTTCTTCTCTTCATAGTTGCTTTAGGAAGTATAAGAGCACGTGTGTATGGCAATTATTCAACAAGCGTATCAGCAGCAGAGCTTTTCATACTGGTGCATTTCCCCAGCAGGCAGCAGTTGCAGAGGGAGAAGTGAATTTGGCTGATCAGAGCACAAATTAACCACAAGTCTGGGTGATTTTCAAGCCTTTTGGTCAAAACCAGATTACGTGTTAAACTGACTAATTTCACACACATCTTGGCACGTCCACAAGCTATGGCATCTCCCAATACAATCTGTGCTGGACTAGAAGCATGGTGGAAGAGATCCGGTCATGTTTTTTCATTCAGGAGAACAAGGAGCTCTGATTGCTCACAGCTACCTCTATTTTTGATTAAATAGAAGTTTTTGAAACCTTGGATTGTTTTTCCAGTTAACTTGGAATTTGTGATCACTGATATTCTACTTCTTCAACTCATTGCCCACTTTCTCAAGAGAATTCCTTTGTCCAGAAGGTAGAAAATTTGCTAATTTCAGTCCATTTACGGTTGCCTTTTTATTCTTCATTGCATTCAGCAAAAAATTTGCAGACTGTCCCAGAAATCCAGCCTACTTCTGGATGTGCAGTGAATTCTCCTCTGCTTTGTAACACACAAGCAGAATCCCAGAGCAGTAGGGCTGCTAGAGGGAAAGGAAATGAAGCTGTAAGACAATGCTACCATTCTGTCTGGCAGGTGCTCAAGTTTACATCGCAGAAGTAGATTTTCTAGAAAGGGATGATAGTGGCTTGATGCTTCATTTGCTTTCATTCACTTGATGCTTTGGAACAGGTTGCCCAAGGAGGCTGTGGATGCCCCATCCCTGGAGGCATTCAAGGCCAGGCTGGATGTGGTTCTGGGCAGCCTGGTCTGGTGTTGACAACCCTGCACATAGCAGGGGGATTGAAACTCAGTGATCATTGTGGTCCTTTTCAACACAGGCCAATCTGTGTTTCTATGATTCACTTGTAAAAAATCAATATTTTGGAAAGAAAAAGAATCGTTGAGGTTGGAAAAGACCTTCAAGATCCCCAGGTCCAACCATCAGCCTGACCCACCAAGTCCCATCACTACACTGTCTCTCTCAGTGCCACGTCCATGTGTCTTGGACATCTTCATGACTGGGGACTCCACTGCCTCACTGGGGAAGCTGTGCCAGCGCTTGAACGCTCTTTTGTGAAGAAATCTTTCCTGATATCCGACTTAAGCCTCCCCTGCTGCAATTTGAGACCACTTGTCATCACCTGAGATCATCTTGTATTTCTTTCTTACGTTAATATTTTCCCCCTCTTTTATAGTTAGATTTTACCCTATGTTTATTTTTTCATTGGAAGGTCTATTATCTTCCCAGTTTTTACCTTGTTTGGCTC